TTGGACCATTAGTTATATTTGCTCCATTTCGTTTTCGAGGATTTTTATCTTTGGAACCGGCTAGTGTTCCACGCTTCAGGCGTGCCTTGGATTCATTTGTATTTGTATTTTTTTCCTTCTGAGATGTCAATTCTAATTGGAGCATTTACAGCTGGTACATGAAACTTTGTTACTCTCATAGGGTCAGTAAATGCTTCTAGCAATTGATTTGCTACATTTTGTAAATGAATTATATTTTTTTAAAACCATAAAAATATATAAATGGTCCACATGGTGGATGAATTGGTCCACATATATCCACTTGAATTCTTTCTAAGAAACTGGGACTTTCATACCCAACTTTGTTCAATGATGGATGAGAAATTAATTTTTCTTTGAGAGCATGCAACACAAGACAATTCATTAGCTTGAAAATCTTCTGGTTTTTCAAGGAATGAGCTCTTGAATTTTCAATTATTCTACGCATCATAACTGATCTGGGATGGCATAACCGGTCATGCCAAACATTAAAGATGTTATCCCACATTTCATTTTTAGTAGCATGGGATTCATTCTTTCTAATATTTGTATAATACAATCCGAAGGGCAATACGGGTAATTTTTCCAAAAAACTTTTCTTACCTGATGTCATTTTTGTAATGTTGAGATACTCTTTATTACCACCATTAGTTGTTGTTGGGTTATGAGCATAACATCATTCCTATGGTGTTCATTCAACCCTAATTTCTTTGATCTAGTTTTTTCTACTATGAACACAACAACATTGAATACCAAAGCAATAACCCTAAAGTGTAACATACAAATCTGAAAATCACATATGATTTAGGGTTTAGATCTTACCTTTGATTGTTATGTAGCAATAACAATCACAATCCTTCTTGATCTTGACTTCTGAAAGCTTAGTGCCTCAAATGTTGCACTTCTAATGGAGTCACAAACACCACTAGCAACAAGATGACTTAGGAGAGGAAGGAGGAGCACCAAAAACATCCAAGATCTTCTAGAGAAAGCTTAGCCACATTTTTGGGAGCCCGAGGGGTCTTTATATACTTATGAGGGCTGCTAGGGTTTCAGGTGAAACCCTAATTCTCTGCTTAGGCCTTAAGCAACCCATGGAGTCGCTCTAGAAAGCCCTTGGACGAAAATCATATGGGCTTCCCATAGATTTCGTCCAATGCCCTTTCCATTAGGAATCCACAGCCCAATTTGCAACTATCATATAATTGCAATATCAGTCCCCTTTATTTAATTATTCTCTTTTAGCCACAAAATTAATTCTTAATTAATTCTTGACTAATATTAATTAAACAATATGATTTCTCTTTTAATATATTATTCACATAATATACTAATAAATCATAATTAATCATCTTTCTTCTTAATTCATCCTATCAGTTGCTATGGTGAAGGCAACCCAAAAGGACCATGCTCATAATCGGGTCAAGTACATACCAAAATAGTTATGGGCTTAGACACCTAATCCAACAGTTGTTTCTACATAATATCTGTTAGAACGAATATCCTTAAAGCTTAATAAATTTCTTGGTGATTTGGATGAAAATAATGCATCACCAATTGTAATTATTGTCCCTTGTGGTAATACTATATTCGTTCTTCCGGAGCCTTCAATCATTTTTGCATTACTCGTTATTGTATTAACATTTGCTTCTATAATTGATAAGTAAGTAAAATACTTTTCATTATTAAAAATGCTATGTGTTCTTGCACTGTCTACAAGACATATATCTTTCTCATATTTTTTTGTGAATATCCATATTTCTCTTCAATAAATAAATAAAACATAAGAAACATTCGACTTAGAGCAATAAAGTCATATTTTGTTACTTTGAAAAAATTGTGATGACATCATTTCTCATGAAATGAATATGACAGAAAAACATAATAAATGACATGAAACAAAACTACACATTATTCTTCCATCACCATCCGTAACACCACTTGTCCCTTCTGGGTTGACAAGAAAAGCGACAACATCTAAATGTTTCATTTATAGTAGATCTTCGTGAAAATCATTTTGAATAAAATTTGTTTTGATATTTTATTTTATTTTAGATTTTAGAGAAGTTTGATAAAGATCAACAAAATGATTTGGAGAGCGGCATGTATAAGACCAATGAGCGCTCATTCCAGATCAATGACAAATATTTCCAACTTTCTTTTTGTCTAAACCACTTTTATCAATAGGATGTGGGTTTTTTTCCAACTTCTGGTGGTTACTTGTATTCTTGTTATTTTTATGATAATTATGATAACTTCCACGACCTCGGTTAGACCCATGACTATTATGATTATATGATGTTGTATTCACTTCAGGGAATGCACTAGAACCGGTCGGGATTGATTGGTGATTTTTCATCAATAATTCATTGGTTTGTTTAGACACAAGAAGACATGAGATTAATTCATATTTTTTTAAACCTTTCTCACGACATTGCTGCTGCGGGAGCATGTTAGTGGCATGAAAAGTAGGAAAAGTTTTCTCTAGCATGGTTTTCCACAATGAAAATACTAATAAAAATAAAGACTTGTATGTTAAGGAATTGTTAGTTAAGAAATTCCATAAAATAAGTTGTAAGCATTGTACATCTGAACTTAAAAAAAATACATACCTGAAATGACAAGAACAATAAGGAGTTAGAGCTCTATTGTAGAGTCATGTTAATAACATGTAATAAAATATGATCAAATAACAAGATAAATTATAGAGTAAAGAAAGACATGAGAGTGGAGATAACTTTTATTCCAATACTTGTGATGAAATCATTAACTTTACATATCTCTCACTATTTATACAACCAAAATAAGATGAAAGACGCATACACATTATTGAGGTGAGTTAGAATCGTGTAATGAATACGAAATCAATCAATGAAAATAGAAAGAACACATCGAGTAAATAAGATCTGATTGGATCATATTATGTCTGTAAAGAATACAAGAATTTGAGAGTGTTTTACAAACTTGAGAGCACCAAAGTTACTCTCGACCCTAATACTTACCCTATTTATAGGGTGTAGCAGACACAACAAAAAAAATACAAGGACTAAACATTCTAGTTCGAATTCGACATGTGCCTTGCAAATAGAGTTGAAATTATTCTGATTTTGCACCCTTACAGACTACAATTTCGACCCCTACAATCTCCCCCTTAGTGAGAGTAGTCGAAATTACGCCATAAGCTTTAAAGTCTATAGAAGTACATTGCGAACCTCCATATACCATAGAATCGTCTTTCGAATCTTTGCCTTATCATCACCTTCGTTCCTTTTGCAGTTGTTGATTCGAACAAGAAGATTTGTATATTGAGCATTCGTATACCTCTCCAAATCACTTACTTGAAACAAGAATTTTTGTCAACTTCCCATTCTTATTCTTCCCGCGAAATATAACCCCAAGAGGTTGATGTATTATCTCCCCATCTTCAAACTTGTCAATGTTAAGCTTCTCCTTCAACAAAGATTAGGGAATTTTCAAAGGCTTATTAACAGTTGTAGCAAGCTCAATATCAGTAATTGTTAGGCAATCATAATAGTTGTCGATGAACACCTTGATATGAGCAAAACCAATTAGAAAGTCATCCTTGTTGGTTTCTGTCAGCTTCGAAACATCCACATTGCTTAAAATCCTTGTCACAATGACCAAGTCATTTAAGTTCGTCAATGGGAAATCAACAATTGAAAATTCACAAATCACATTATTCGCTCTAACAACCACATAGAAAAAGTTTTGCAAAATGCCTTCAAACAAGTTTTCTCGAGTAATTTTCATCTCCTTGACAATCTTCACTGATGACCATACTTCTTCTTCATTGTTCCCCAAGACTACATGAAACCGTATCTTCAGTATTTTGAATTCTTCTTTATCTATGAAGTTTTCAACGATTTTGAATTGGGAAGAGGTGAACATGTGATTCAACGGGAATTCAAGCTGATTAAAATCAATGTTTTCAACATCATAACTCTTCTTAGGCACTTTGTGAAAATAATCATTCATTCCAATCGAAATGATTTCTTCGATTGTTTCATAACACCACTGCTTGTTGGGATCACCCTTATTCAAGCCGGGTGGGTCATTTTGTCTTCGCCTCATTATGTTGTTGAATTGTCTTTGCCTTTCGATCTCCAAAGCTTGTTGTTTCATTTTCTCTTCTTCTGAAGGAACCACCGAAATAGCTTTCCCTTTATCACCTTGATCGTCTTTTGAAGGTGGTGGTACAGAACTCGAACTTGAACCTCCATCCAGTTCATTTATTATGATCCCTTTCGTGATTGGTCTTGTAGTTGTTATTGTTGTTGAAGTTGTGGTCAGTGAAATAGGAAGTGAAGTTGGTATCTGAGTCGAACTTACTTTTCCAACAACAGCTCCTTTCTCAGAATCCTTCGAAGACCCAACACCTCCACATCCTTTATCTCCCCTTGTGACACTTTCTTAGCAGGTGAAGCATTCGTTGGTAATCAAAGAACCAACTCAAGGATGGGAGCAAGCTCTACTTTGATATTTGTCTCAATGGTCGAAATCAACTGAGAAATTGATTCTTGAGAAACAGAGGATTGATTCGAAAGAGCAGCTTTCGAAATTAATTCCTTGATACTGGTTAAGAATTCTTCCAACTTTGCAAACACCTGAGAATCCTTCTCCGATTTTGCTTCAATCTTGGTCGAATAGTCAGTATTGAATTCAACGAACTTTGTGATAGCATCTGCAACAACATCAACTTTGCTATGCAACACAGTATAATTTTTATCCATCTTTTCAACCTCTTTAGCCATCTCGAACTTACGTTCAGCCACCTTAAGATCCACATATTCTTTCATTTACATCACTTGTTCCACAAAAAGATCATGACGCTCCGTGGCAACATCACAAAGCTTTTGAATTTCGTACTCAAATCTCTTAGAATGAACATTCAACCGTTCAACTTGTTTATGTTTAAGACTTTCAACCAAACTGTGAAGACGATTCTCCTGAGACTTCAATAATTACTCCATATCTACCCCATAAATGGAACTCCTTCCCCCAGAATCACCTTGTAATTGAAGAAGAGAATTGATTTTTTTCTTGAGGATTTCGAATTGTTTACCTGACATGATCATGTTATCAGGTACATTATCCTCCTCTGGTTCGAATTGCAAATCATAAAAAGACACCATTATGTCATCATCATTTGGTTCCTTCTCTTGAACCACTCTCTCAACTTTAGTAGATTGAGATGAGAAAAGGGTAGTAATAGGTTCACGCATAATCGTGGAGTATGTTGGTGAAATAGTTGAAACTGGAAGTGAAGTTGGGATGGGTGATGAAAGTGGTGGTAAGGAAGTAAATGTTTCGAATGTAGAAGATTCGATGGTGGATGAGATAATAGTTAAAGTGGTAATGGTTAATGTTGAAATGGTAGAAGTAATAAACGCTTCTTTTTTCTGCACCCCTTCACCCATATTGACATTTGTGTCCTTATCAGATAAGTCCACAGGGATGTCTAGAGTTCGAACCTCCTCCGTATAGGACTCAGTATGCAAAAACCTCGGGTGGTATGACGGTAGTCTTCTCAGGGATGGATGTAGATGTTTGATCATTCGAATTGGTATTTGTATCCATATTAGATACGTTTATAGTGACGCCAGGATCTCTTGTCTCCTCGAAATTCAACTTGAGAGGAGAATCCCTTTGAGGTGACCCAATCCCAAAAACATCATGGCGATTATCCCCACTTTCAGTGTTATTATTAGTTTTGACAATGACTTGATCACGTGGATCTTGATGCTTTCTCTTCTTTTGTTGTAATTTCTGGGCCATATCGAATGCTTGTCGTTTCTTCGAAGCTGGAGAAGTGGGAACATGAACTTCTCTAAACAACACACCTCTTCTGTTGAATTGAGGCTTTCTATTCTTTTTGATACCCTTGTGATACGAATGAGTATGCGAAGAATCAACATGTGTTTGCTCAGTTGTCTCAATTTTGGGTTCTTGAACATATGGCCTGACTGGAGAATCATGAGGCCTCTTGGCTGGTTTCTTGGTACGCTTTAGAATACTAGTTTTTTAAGGAATAATTTCTTTAGAAACTTCCTCCACCACATGTTGTGGTTTCTCATTCTGTTTCTTCTTCTTCGTTACTTTAACAAGTTTTGAAGAACCATCAGCCCCTTTCGATGGAAGAATACCAATCGAAACAGTAGAATCAATGGAGTCCAAGTACTGAACAAGGAATGGATTTTGTGGATCAACATGTCTTAGCATCGCATCTGGAATGTGAGCAACAATAGAAAAAATTGTTGGATCGTCAACTACAATCCTTGGAGCTTCCATCGTCGAAAATTAAGTCGTTGCAACACCAGAAGGAACCAGAATCCCTTCCTATTGATAAACTTCTTTGAGAATAAAAATCCAGTATCGAGAACACGAGACACCGTTCGCCAAGTTGGTGTGAGTAATAGTTGTGCCAAATTCTTCCCAAAGAAATGTGGTATAATCCACATCTAGACCATAGTATAGCCCAACAATAATGGAATAGATTTTCAATTTGGATTTATCTAATCCAGAGCTTCAACCTGTCAAGCATCTTAAGACGATTCCAAATAGAAAACTCCAAACACAGGGTAGACCCAACTTTTTAAAATGACTGATTCAAGTCAGATCAGGTTGATGTCCCATCTCATTGAACATGTGAAGAACTTGTTCATTAGTAACCTCATAAAAAGTACCTGAGACTGGCAACTTCATGATTTGAGAAAATTGTTTCCTTGTGAGCTTTCTCGTCTTGGAATTTGTCAGTTGAAACGTGACGACTTTCGTTATTTTGTTGAACACTATGTTGGAACCAGCAAGCGTAATCCAAGTTATCGGTACTGCAAACGATGATGCTAACACTGTAGAGAGAACAAAGTTATTTAGGGTTTGAATCAACATGTGTAACTACTCTGGATACTGATCCACCGTTGGCAGCAATCATAGATTTTTATTATGAATCGTCATTAAAGGTTGTGAAACTTCTTCTTCATTGGTGGTGTTTGTGGGATCAACATTAGTTTGAGGAGAATCCATTGTTGTGATTGCAAGGAATGTTGAAGACGATGAACTTTTGGAGAATTTTGGTAAATTTGTTCTGAGAGCATAAAGTCTGAGAATGATACCACCAATTTTCTTATATAATCTACGGTATTTTTGAATTTGAACCGGTTACCAATAATACACTTCCACATATTGCGTTGGTTACTTAACCGACATCGTGAAAATATCCACGTCATAAAAAGTGATCATCACGTTTTCCTTGAATCTCGTGAAAATCTTGAACCGTCACTTCTATCGGATCTTTCGCCGTTCCCAACCAGATAAGAACCGTCACTTATTTCGAATTGTGAGCAAGGACATCTTGTTGTTTCGACATCAGGAGAACATCATTCCTTCACATTGAGGGTAGGCTCATTCACTTTTAGGATTCAAAATCGAAATCATATGCCAGACTTCGCGAAATCTTGGTTTCGAGTTGGTATTACGTAAAACCTCAAGGATTCCAGTGCAATTGTGTGCCGAAGAATGAGTGAGAAGCAATTAGAAAAATGTGGGTTTTGCGATATCAAATTGCATTTGATACGAAAGCAGTTGGATCCAAGGAAAATATCTTTTCATTCGACATCAAGAGAGATGACGAACTGCTTGTGTGGTTTCCCGTGAAATACAATCGAATACTCATTGATGAGCATTGAAGGGCTTCTTTTTCATTGGTTCGAAAGGTAGGCTCAATTTTTTTCAATACTACAACTTAACATAAGTGTGAATTAAATTGAACAAAATTACTTGGATGACCAGTGTAGTCAAGAACAAGTATGGCTGGTTATGATTTAGAGTAACAAGAAATCAGAATGATATTCAGACGGAAATCACATTCCCAAAAAAAATTTAGTACTGGATCTTGTTGGGTAAAAATGTCTTGGGTTAAGAAAATTTTATCAAGATCATGCAATTCAAATGGAATATGATTTTGAATATCGAAAAGGTATCGAAACAAGTGTTTCGTTATAATCTTGAACAAAAATGTTCACTGTCAATTCCTTGATAGTCAGGTTTTTTTGGTTTTCACTATCATCATGGAAGAATGACTCAGGATCATAAACACAGAGTGTTGCAATATCTACATTCTGGTAGGTTTCGACCAGAGATGTCAAGGATATGCAGTGAAGTGTGTGATCATGAAAGAAATTTTGGTGAAAAAATTGTGTGTAAGAACTCATTGTACCTCTGCGAAATATATAGACATTGCAGAAATCTCTTTACTCAATATGAGAACAGAATGGTAGCCCTTCGACTAATGTGAATATAGCCTAATTGGGAAGGAACGATCGTAGTGATAGTTCCATTAAGGCTTTGAACACATAAAGTCTATGAGGCTTGAGGTAAACATACAACAACATGCTTCTAGGGACACTTAACTAGTACATCAGTTCGAATGAATACATGTCCCTTGGATAGATAGGATCGTGGAGCATGCACATCATTCATACGTTGTTACAATGAGACACGCATTGTTAAAAAAATTGAAATAATAACAAGAAAATCTTTTTGAGTTTTTGCTTTTGGAAATCAAATTACAAAAATAAGAAATTCTTTTTAGATTTTTGTTTTTGAAAAGAAAATACAAAAATAAGAAAATCTTTTTGGATTTTTGTTTTTGAAAAGCAAATACAAAAATAAGAAAATCTTTTTGGATTTTTGAGATTTGAAACAGAACAAACAAAAACAAAGTTGTAAAATGTTACCAAGTGACGTTCGACTTGTTAAGTAACAACCTCCAATGATGTTGCACATCGAACAACTTTCTTCCCCAAAAAGCAAATTGAGATCAGAACGATTCAGCTGAAAGTCGAATGCGAACGCTAAACTGGAAGAGTAACCTCTGAACGATTCGGAAAAACACCAACGAATAGACACCTTTTTGATCAAGAAGAACCTGGAACATAACTTGCTTCGATGAACCCCAATCCATTCAAAATCCTTAAAAATGACTTCTCATCTAAAGGTTTTGTAAAAATATCTGCAAGTTGATCCGTTGTTTTCACAAAATGGGCCTCGATGTTCCCGTCTTCTACATGGTCTTTTATAAAGTGATATTGAAGAGCAATGTGTTTGGTTTTCGAATGTTGGAATGGATTATGACAGATGCGAATAGCACTTTGTGAATCACAATACAAATGAATTTTCTTCATATTAATTACATAATCATGTAGTTGACTTTGTATCCAAATAATTGGTGTTGTGCAAGCTGCATCAGCTACATACTCTGCTTCTGTAGTCAAAATCAAAATACACGTTTTTTCTTCGATTGCCAACTCACTAGCTTTCCATCCAACAATTGACATCCGCCTATCGTGCTCTTTCGATCAAGTTGACAGCCACCTAGATCTGCATCTGAGAATGCTTGTACAAAGAATCTTGTCTTCGATGGATACCATAGGCCCAACGAAACTGTTCCTTTGAGGTAGCGAAAAATCTTCTTCACAGCATTGAGATGGGGTTCTCTTGGGTTCGATTGGTACCTAGCACAATTACAAACATCAAACATAATATCAGTTCGACTTGCACTTAAATTCAAGAGTGAACCTATCATGCTTCTATATGTTGTTAAGTCAACAACAGGCTTATCTAGCGAAGGATTCAAGCGAGTGCCAACAGCCATATGTACTTTCCCTTTAGTGTTATTCATCATTCCAAATCTTTCAAGCAGGTTCCGCTTATATTTCTCCTGATTAATAAAGATGCCTTCCCTGCTTTAATGAATATGTAAACCCTGAAAATTATTAATTTCCCCATCATACATATTTCGAACTGGCTTTTCATAAGCTCCTCAAATTCCTTAGATAACAAAGGGCCAGTCGAACTAAAAGTTATATCATCGACATAAATTTGAACAAGAATCAGGTGATTCCCAACTTTGTTTCGAAATAAAGTGGGATCAACTAATCCTTGTTTACGTTTAGCAATTTTCAAAAAATTGGTCAGAGTTGCATACCAGGCACGAGGTGCTTGTTTCAACCCATAGACTGCCTTATCTAGAATATAACAGTGATCACGATACTTATCATTGATGAAACCTGGTGGTTGTTCGACATAGACCGTTTCTTCCAAAACTCCATTGAGGAAAGCACACTTGACATCCATTTAATAAACATCGAAATTTTTATGTGTTACATAATCAAGAAAAATTCGAACTGCCTCGAGTCGTGAAACAGGGGCAAAGGTTTCCACATAATCGATACCTTCTTGTTGAGAGTAACCTTTAATGACTAATCTTGCTTTATTTCGAATTACATTGCCTTCTTTATTAGTTTTATTTTTAAAAATCCATTTTCAACCAATTAGCGAAACATCCTTTGGTTTAGGAATTAACCTCCAAACTTTGTTTTGTTCAAATTCAGTCAGTTCAGATTGCATTGCCACAACA